AGGAGGGCGGTGACGATGATGAGGAGAGGGGGGGAGGGATGGATGGGAACAGATTGGGATTAATAAAGGAGATTGGGATGTCAGGATAGAAAAACAGATCAAGACATCTTGTCCTCTTTTTCAATGGCTTAGTGGCTTGGAGGGTTGGCCGGTGGTGCGGCGTTCAGGTTGACGGGCCGTTGCGCCAGGGGAGGGGGGGGGGGAAGGGGAAGGGGAAGGGGAAGGGAAAGAGGGGGGAGGGTTCCCACATCATGTACATCTCTGCGACTTTTAGGGATCAACATTGTACATATATATATATACATGCGGAGTACCTATACTTGTAATAGTATCACGATGCTTCTGACCCCATGAGGATGGTATCTGTCCTCGTATATGACCATGGATGATTGATGGGCCGATCGATGGTTGATGGGTTACGTATGGTCTTTGTCGATTGGAATGCAAATCATGTGAAGATGGGATTACGGACTTTGTTCCCATACCTCGAACTCGAGTTTGACCAAGAACTGCAGGGTAATCTTTTTTCTTTCTTTTGTCCTTTTTTCTTCCCCCCCCCCCCCCCAAATCGGATCTAAACCCCACAGTCTCTCGTTCCCCCGACAACCAAATCGCTTCCGATAGACGGGTCCTCAGCTTTAAACAAACAATGTTGTACTACAGATTAGTGCGTATTATATAATATCATTGTTTCTATTCATTGCTATAGTAGCTGCATGAATACGCAACCACAACAGCTTTTCTTCCTTTCGCGCCTTTTCTCCATTCCTCCTTCTCTCACTTCTCTTCTTCGTTTCCCTGGAATTTTTTTATTTTTTCATTTTTTCATTTTTTTTCACGCTCGTCTCCATTCCATTCAGTCCTTTTCTCTTCTCTTCTTCTCCTTGTTCGCTTTCTTCTTGCCGATGCAATCATAGCAACAACAATAAACAACGACAACCCCATCCACAACTTGCTTCCTACAAGAGGAACCTTCTTTCTTGTTCTGCGCCGCGCTGGCTCACGGCCATCTGAACCATCTTGACTCCTCTTCTTCTCCATCCTCCACCCCGCCACAATGGAAGCTCTCCTCTCCGTCGCATTCGACAACCTCTCATCCTACAATGGCCCCAAGGTCCGCAAGGGTCTTCGTCAGATCGAGGGTCTGCTAGCCCAGATCTGCCTGTCCAACCCCTCCTCGTCCTCGTCCTCGTCGTCGTCGTCCAGACCGTCGACTAGCGGGTCGTCGTCAGTCTCGCCCGTCTCTCCTTCGTCTTCCGATGCTGCTCCCTCTGGGCGCAAGGACCTCGGCCAGCTCTCGCACGACCCTGCCTTTCGTCAGTTCTTCAAGCTCCAGGAGGGATTCGAGTGGAACGTCGCCATGCGGCTCATCGGCACGCTAGACCGCCTCATGGCCCAGGGGACGGATGGCCAGAACGACCTGCTCATCCTGAGCTCCCTCGACCTCATCCAGGGTATTCTCCTGCTGCATCCCCCCAGCAAGACTCTGTTCTCCCGAGAGCAGAACATGAATGTAAGCTTTGACTCTTGCTTCCCATCCCCTCCCTGTCTAGTCATGATCCTCCGTCACCCCCCCATGACGATTTCCTCCGAACCTCTCCCTTGTGCCTGACATGTATATCCGTCTACAAGCTCCTCCTCGACCTCCTCGAACCCTACAACTGCCCGGCCATCCAGTCGGCCACCCTCCTCACACTCGTCGTCGCCCTCATCGACACCCCACGCAACACGCGCACCTTTGAGGCGCTGGACGGCCTCCTCACCGTCACGTCCCTCTTCAAGTCGCGCTCCACCTCGCGCGAGGTCAAACTCAAGCTCGTCGAGTTCCTCTACTTCTACCTCATGCCCGAGATGCCCTCCATCCCCCGCGCCGAGCAGACGGACTCGCTCCCACACATGCTGCAGCGCAGCCCTAGCAAGTTCGCCGACGCCTTCTCCTCCTCCTCCTCCTCCTCCTCCACCTCCTCGTGCTCCTCGCGCGACTCTTCGGCATCGTTTGGCTCGTCCTCGTCCTCGGCCGGAGGCCCGCACCGTCGCCGCACCGACAGCGACGCCGGCTGCAAGCTGTCCACCGCTGACAAGCAGGAGTTCCTCGGTCGCTACCTCAGCAACGTCGATGACCTGGTCAAGGATCTCGGGAACTACGCTCCCTTTGGCGGCGCCGTCTGCTGAGAGGCAAAGCCCTGAACAGTGCCAACTGAACCCTCTCTATGTAGTGCAGATTTGTATAACCCTTCCCTCTTCTTCTTCTACTGTCTTGGTTCCTTCTTCCCTCTTCTCCTTTTCTTTTTTCTCATATCCTTTCCTCATCTAATTACTCCTCTCCTTCGTCCATCATCTCCTTCGTCTCTTTGCTGTTCAAACCGTTTTTTTCGCTCTACTCGCTTGCTGTGGTAGCTCGTCGGCGTTGGGCATCCTGCTCTTTTTACTTGGTCTTTTTTTTTTTTTTTGCCGGCAAGGGCTGCTTTTTTTTTTTTTTTTTTTTTTTGTTAACCATCTTCTTTACTGTTAAAATCGTCTTTTTGTCTTTTTGCAATGCATTCCCTTTTGCTGTTCTCACGTGTTTCCTCTTGACTAGATTTGACAATGATAGTAACATGAAGCTTTTGCATTCCAAGCCACATCTCCTCTTCTACTACACATGTCTCCTTGACAAGGAAGCCCTCAGCTACGGTTCACCCCCCTTTCGGCGCAGTACTTGTCCACCTCCTTGCGGAGGCTATCACGCTGACGGATGGCGATCTCCATGACGCGCTCGGCCGTGGGGCCCAGGCCCTCGGGGTGCCGCGCCTTGGACCGGGCGTGCACGTCGGCCATGTCGTCCAGCACGGCCCGGAGCTGGTTGGGTAGCCATGTGACGATGGGGCTGCCGCCGGTGGCGGTGGGGTGAGAGGTGCGCTTGAGGATGTACTCGCGCGCGAAGCACCAGTGGCGCCAGCGGAAGTCGCGGACCTGGTCCAGGACCTGGATCCACAGGCTACGAGAGGCGCGGAGCAGGTCCCTCGTGCCGTCGTCGTCGTCGCCGTCGCCATCGTCGGCGCCATCACCGTCCAGGCCGAGCGCGTACTCGCGCAGCTTCAGCTCCAGGGATCTCTCCCTGACGAAGAGGAGGAAGCCCTTGTGGTTGCTGGGGCGGTACTCGCGGAAGTCCCGGAGGATCTCGGTCAGCGGGGTGTCGGGCATCGGCACCTGGAGGAGGTTGTCCATGAGGGGCACCATGGAATCGTTGGCGCCGCTCTCGCCCCGGAACGACAGGGGCTTCCCGTCGTTGAGCCCCTCGTACACCACGCCGTCGGGGAACATGGACTGCGACGTGATGCCGAAGATGAAGGTGCGGAAGCTGGTGTAGGCCATCGGGCTGGACTTGCCCCACATAGTCTCCATGACGGCATTGATCTTCCTGAGGGCCGCCAGGACCGACTCTAACCCGGCATTGAGCCGGGTCCGGCGGCCTGTCGTTGCCCCCGTATCTCTCTCCGCGTCGTTGCCTGCATCGGCGGCGGCGGCGGCAGCGTCGAGACACTGCATCACCCCGGATACCAGGGCGCCAGAGTTCTTGACCATGTCGACGTGCACGAGGACGAAGCCGGCCTCGGACGAGGTGGGGTCTAGACCGTTCTCAAAAGCCCGTATCAGACGGAGGTTGGAGTACTCCATTCCCTTCTTTGGGTCTTGAAGACGGTAGTTGTACAGGGCATAGGAGCCGGCGTACTCCATGAAGGGTTTGAAACCGCAGCTGGGGGGGGTTAAGTGTCAGTGTGTTTTACTTGTACGTAGGTAGTATATGTATATATATATATATACATATAAATATGTATGCATGTATGCATGTATATATATATATGTGTGTGTGTGTGTGTATGTGTGTGTGTGTGCATGCATGCGTGGATGTGTGTATGTATGTGTGGGTGTGTATGTGTGTGTGGGTGTGTATGTGTGTGTGTGGGTGTGTGTAGGATGTTGTGAGTGGTGAAAGATGAAGAAGAAGAAGAAGAAGAAAAGAAGAAGAAAAACACTCACATCTCGGCACACTTAGCAATCGGGAGCGAGATACAAGCAGGCAGCACCTGACGTCCCAGACCGTACGGCTCCCCCTTGATGAAGCGGTGGTGGCACGGCTCGAGGAGATAGGCCGACGCCAGGAACGAGTAGTCGCGGTACAGGGCGTTCATGACCGGCAGGTCGTCCCTATACGCGTCCATCTCGGCGGCCAGGTTGGGGAAGAGACCCCCGTCTATCTCGTCGCCGAGCTTGTACTGCGCCAGGAGCCCTGGCTCGCCACAGGCTGTCTTGACCGGCATCCTCTGCAGGATGGACTCCAGGGCGGAGAACTCGTCGGGCAGGGTGACGATGGGGTCGGCCCGGGGCAGGAATCCACGAGCCTTGGAGACCATGAAGGCGGGGAGGGACTTGTCATGGGGGCGGGGGTCATCCAGGACGTGGAAGGAGTGGGTGGTAGCAGCGTTGGCGGTGGTTCCAAGGGATCCCATCTTATCTGTGTGTGTGTGCGAGAGTGTGTGGTTAAAGGGGTAAGGATGTATGAGTGAGATATGTCTTTTTTTTTTTTTTCACAGGGAATTTCTTATATATCTGAAGGGTGTTGCTTGGGCCTCTCTTGCCATATCAGCTTGACAAAAGAAGAGAGAGGAAGAAGAGAAAAAGAATCAAAATCAAGTTCGTGCGCTCTCGACGCCGCCTATATACCCTCGTGGCCGGAATCGATTCCGGCCATACACACCAAATACGTAGAAGACACGGAGAGGGAAGGGGAAAAAAAAGGGCATCAAGCGGGGACACACTAATATGCACCTGCGAGTCCGTTACGTGATGGAAACCACAGAACAAGAACAAGAGATGCAAGAATGTGACGCCGTACACATAAGAGTCGCGATGTCATGGTTATGATGTTGGATAAGTAAGGCCAAAGGGGGGGGGCGTGTTAGAACAAGGGTCATAGTATATACGGACGAATATCTCTCCTCTCTCCCCCCTTGCTTTCCACCTATGAAACTACCAAATCAAATGGAATAAGTGAAGAGATTTCATTATGAAGAGTAGAAGAAAAAAAGGAGTTGTCATGATTATGAACACAATCGTCGCGTGTGGTTTCCCAAGGGGAAGATGGTAGAGAGAGAAAAAGAGGGAGGGGGGGCCCACAACCGGCCTTCCCGACGTTGCCCGGCCTCGAAAGTGGAGATACAGTGGCCGGAATGGTTCCGGCCTCATCGGCGCCCGCGCCAACTGAACTGAGAGGGAACAAATGTATACGAGCAGGACAGAGATAAGGGGTTTCTGGGTTTCTAAAAGAGGGGTAACGTATTCACACACCGTAAGTTAGGAAGAGGACACTGATTCACATACGCGCAGAAGCTTTGAAAGCCATGAAATTCCTTTCCGTTCCGTCAGAGTATATCCCATACATATCATTCATTTTTCGTCCTCAACCTCGGTGGATCTCATCGATACCGTCACGTCTTTAAACCGCACGAGATATTTGACGAAGGAGAAACACAAAGAAAACCGTTTATTCTTAATCAAGAAAAAGAAACAGACAAATAAATGAACCATCCACAGTGTTATCTGTTGCGTCACCGGGGCGGCGAACCCTGATACGTGACTGCAAACTCTGCACATACAAACACATTATTGCTCAGTTGATTTCCATAGAATCCTTCCAATCGAGATCGTTATTCTTGTTTCCAACATCATCATCCCCCTTCCCCCTAAATACCCCTTTCCAAGATGATCGTGCGGAATCCTCGCTTCTCCATTGCCGCCGTAGAATTTCTCTGCGCTGTGGTGGTCGATACGCCCAGCTCAGGTGATGCCGTGGATGTGACAGTCATCACGGCCGTGCGGTCGGACGACGCCAAGGTAGACGTGACGACTGTAACGTCATCGTTACCACTGGAACCGGTGGCAGTGGCAGTGGAGTAAGACGAGGAGTCGGTCCCGGTATAGTCTTCTTCGTCGCCGTCGTCGGCGGTGGCGGTGGCGGTGGCAGACGCGGCGGCATCGGTTGCCGGATGGGTCGTGAGTGTCCGTGTAAGTGTCACGGTGGTGGTGCGCGTGATGGTCGTGGTGGACCGGTGCCCCAGGCTGGTCGCGACGGCCGTTCCGGAGCTTGTGATGCCGGTGGCAGAAACCGCCATGGCCGCAGCAGAGGCCGCGGAGCCCGTCACGGAAGTAGCGCCTGACTCCAAAGCAGCAGCCACCACGGTGGAAGCAGCAGAGCCTGGTCCATTTATACCATGTTAGCCAAACTTCCCGTGTTCCAGCCACGGGACATGCGCAAGCCCATGCACTCACCTGAACTGGCACCAGCAGTCGTCGTACCACCACTGATAGTAGCCTGTGCCTTGTCAGCATCAACAGAGGTGGAATTGAAGATACTTCCCTCGCTGCCGCCGCTATCACTATCCGTGCCGGCAGCAGCAGCAGCAGCAGCAGTAAGAGACACCGAAGTCGTCGCCGTGACCTCGACACTGCTGCCGTCCTCGTCCTCGCCGAGCAGACTGCCGACCTGGTTCTCGAGGTCCTGCAACTTGGACAGAATATCCTCGAGCTCCGACTCGGCAACATCGACAGAGGACGAGCCGACAGCCCTCCTGACGAGGTTGATGGAGTCGCTCAGGGCAGAAAAGACGCCCACATGGTGGCCGATCCCGTCAGCCGTCTCATCGCTGTCGCGGCTGGCCAGGGAGGCTGGGAGCGGGCCGAGAGGGCTTCCTACGAAGCCGCCGCCGAGAGAGTGGACCAGGGCCATTACTTCAAGTCGTGTGCAGTGGAAATCTGAGGAGATGGAGATGTTGTGAATGAGAGAGTGTCGCCGTGAAGAACTCGTTGGTAGAGTAAATAGAAGAAGGGATACGATAAAAAATTGAATGACAAACGGAGAGTGGGGGAAGGAGTAACCGCCCTCCTGGCCGTCGCTATCATGATCCTTATATAAGAAGGACAAAAGAAAAAGAAAGTTATTTACCACGACGATACTTGCTAGCGGGTAGCAACGCATACCGGCCGTGATGTTGGCCACTCCATGTCTCACAATTTCAACATGATTAGCCCTATCCGCCCTACGTCGCATTCCAGCCGACTACCATCTTCCCGCCTATACAAGGCGTGAATGGCTGCATCGCCGACCGTTGCCCTGGCAAGAACTTGTGAAAACATCCGAGGAGAGACTACCCGTCGTCGTGGCCGGTGACAACGGCTTTCTTCTCTTCCTCTTGTTGTCAGACACTAGCCGTTGGGCTCCCCATGACCCTCTTTCCTCAGCTAGGTTCATCTGTTAGCCACATGATATGAACTGCCGAATTGCGTGTTTACGAACATGCATGCATGAGGTTTGTTTACGAACGTTGAACGCTGATTGGAGATACGTGAAGATCGATGGGACGGTGCGTGCGTGCGCATGCGTGTGAATGATGGCGACGCCCATCTAGACGAGCAGCTCTTAGAGTGCCTCGTCTGACTTAACAGCCTCTCCTAGGGTTACCGCGTCGCTTTTCCTGGCTAGACCGGCCTTGTTGCGTCAGACGACCCTCGTGCCAGCGTTGGTGGTGCCCTGCACATCACTCGCGCTGCCGGCCACAAAAGGCGCCTCGTCGGCGCCGAGGCATATCCCGTCTGGAAGCGTCCAGGAGAGCCTGGCACGCCTGCGGGATGTGCTTGTAGAAGCATCCTCTTTTGCCGTGACGGCTTTGTGGAATGTGAAGTTCCGGCCGGACATGGCCACAGCGGTTACGGCGTTCTCGGCATTGCAGCGCAGCCCAGCTCCTCGGGGCAGGTTATCGCGACGCCGAACCGGTACCTGCGCTTCCGGAGGGCTAGCAGCGCCGGCCCCGTCTCGGGCCACGCCGCCAACCCGGCCTAGTCTCGGAGCAGCGCGTCCGCAGCCTGGCGTATGCAGTCCCTCGTAGGGGACATAAGTCTCGCCCAGGAGGTGGAAGGTGGGCTCGAGTAGCGGTGGCTCTAGGCCCGTCCTTCCAAGGGGGACCCGGACAGCGTCGAGGCGTCCAGAGACTCCACGAGTCGGGGAGGGTGGCCAAGAGGTAGAAGATGACGGCCTCGGGCCGCTAGCCGCCAAGTGCGGCGGTGGACATGTTTGGATTGGATTGGTATGTTCATTGGATTATATACTATGGCGAGGCTGGATTCAGAAGGTGTGAAACGAGGCTGACAGCTGTACGGGTACGTGGGCGATTGCTAAGGCCTCTCCATCGCATGATTTGGCCCGTGTCATTCTTCCATATCAATGCAGGTTGACCATCTCTACTCCGCATTGTCCCGAATGCAGTCAGTGGTATATTAGTAGCGGGATTCTATCGCCGGCGACCCGTCATTCACGGCTGCCCTTTGCGCCATGGGCCATCGTGTATGTACATGTATAGCCGGGTGGGTGCATGTCTGGTGCAGTGGTGTGCACAGGCAAACCGGCGGACCAGCTGCAAGTATAGTGAGTGTTGTAAACCCGAGGGCGAGGGGGAGGGAGGGGCGGTTATGGTACTAATCAATGTCGCTAGTTGGCGTTATTTGCTTTGCAGGGTTTCGCGACGGGGCGACAGCATCCTGATGTAACTTGGTATATTAGGCCATCGTATCTTGGTGGGCAGAAAGATAGAGAGGGCTGGAGGGGAGGAGGGGGCGCATGCACTCTGGACTCGTACCGAGCAAGAGGGCCAAGAGAAGTGAGAGAGAGACGAAACAAGAGGGGGTGGGTGGTGGGTGCCTCAGCCGGTGATATGACGAGAAAAGGGCGGATTTCTCTGGTACGCATTGAGAGAGCATCAACTCGGAGACTAAAGGCCAAAATGGAAAGAACGACCCAGCTATTGAGGAAGGAAGAAGGCAAAGCTCTCACTCTTGCATAAGTTTGTGCACAATGGCTTGTGTAAGCAAGGCTAAACCGCTTCGGGAATGGCGCGGTGAATAAGACGAGCCGGAACCTCACGCAACTCCTTTCAAGGCCGACCGGAGACAGTCGACAGTCTGGGATCAGCCCCATGCCAGCCATGGCCCATGGCCCATGAGAGAAGAAACCTTTTGGCCATTGTGCGCGCACGCGGCCCCAAAATGAGGATGAGACCACCAACAAGGGCCACACACCAACGCAATCCCTCTTTTCTTCTTGCCCTCCGCCCCATCCGCTCAAAAAAATGCCCTCAACCCTTTCTTCTTCCTTCTCCCTCGACACCATCATCACCACCATGAATGTACACTGACCAGCAAACCATCTACCCGCCGCGACGCTCCCCCCCTGACCACCAGCCTCTCGCCTGCCCATCACCACAATCGTCAAATCTTCAAATCCTCCCGACTCGTTAGCGGGACACTTCTGATCCACGGGCTACCAAGCAGGAAACACCCCCCCCCCCCCCCCCCCCCCCCCCCCCAAAGCTACCTCTCGTCTGACCGCTCTGCTCCTCTCTCTGTCTTTCCATCTCCCATCCACAAGTCAAAAAATTTCTCCACGCATCTCGCCCCATCCACCTGAATTCTTTTTTTCCTTTCCTTTCCTCTAATTGACTTCTCCTGCAATACATTCTCTCTACGGGTCTATAACCGAAAACCCCGAACGCGTCTTTCTTTTTTTCTTCCTCTGCCGCCCACACACACACACACACGCACGCACACACACACACAACGCTACACAGAGATGGCACCAACAACGAAACCCGCTGCCGCCGAAGGACGTCGCAAGTCTGGGAGTAGCACTGCCAAGCTGAGCCTAGTCGTCTCGGTCAACGTCGAGCCGTCAAAACTACGCAAACTCCTCGAGGATAAAGACACGCCTGTCTCCGAAGAAGAAGGCTCAGCCACCCCGGCTCCCCAAACCGAAGATGATGTCGACGTCAAGCAGCAGACGCCTGACTCGGCCTCGACGACGCAACCCCCTGCCAACGAGACCAACAACGCTTCCGATTCCAACGCCGCCACGCCCCAGGCCGAGGGTGGCACCCCGGCCCCCCCGGGGGCTATGCCCCCCCCGGCTGACGGTCCTAAGAAGAAGGGCGTCAAGCGCTCGGCTGCCAGTATCAACGGCGGTGCCGGGCCCGATGGTGCCCCGAAGGCGCGTGGAAAGCCTGGCCCCAAGAAGAAGCCCAGACTGTATGTACTTCCCTCATCTCCCTCTATGCATTCCGCATGTCACAGTCTCGCGCCCATAGGACGTGGCTCATGGGTCTGGATGGAACCGAACCGTACTGACCAATGTGTAATACCGGTAGTGATGACGGCACCATCGACCCCACGTCCGGCAACCGCTTATCGGGCATCCACAAGCTAGGCCCCAAGGCCAGCCTGGGCGCCATCAACGCTGGACTCCGCGCCCTCGACCGCTCCGGCAAGCCATGCCGCCGCTGGGCAAGGGGCGGCTTCAGCATCAAGACCTTCACTGGCGTCGTCTGGGGAGTGCCCAGGTGGACTGCTCCGCCTAAGCCTTCGATCTCCGACGTCGATCCGGACGCGTCAGCCGTCCCCTCGGCTGCCGACACCAGCTCCAAGGACAACAAGGATGCCAAGGAGACGACCAACGGCGACGCCACCGCCGACATCACCATCGCCGATGCCACCATGGCGGATGCCACAATGGCCGACACCACCGTTGCCGATGCCGCTGCCGTCGAGGACAGCCAGAGTGCCGTCAACAGCGTCAACAGCAACGGTGGCGGTCCGGACATAGAAATGCTGAGTGCTGCCGATAGTGCTCACGCGTCTTCTCCGGCTCCCGCTACCGTCACGGCGTCCTCATGAACGTCATTCCACTGATTGCTCTATTTTTTTTGTCTTCTTTGTCTTACTCATATATAATACGTTTCTTTTCCGCTTTTTATTTTGGATGGACTGCAATACGTGGCCGGGACCACGTTTGCCATTCAGAGGGACGGCTTTGATTTTCTTCTCGTTTTCACGCGTGGCGCTCTTGCTATTTTTTTTCTTTTCTCGTTGGCCTACGGCAGGGATGTTGATTGGGAAATATTGGGGGACGGGTGGCACAAAAACAAGAGGAGTTGGGGCTTTAGGTTTTTTTTTTACTCTCGTTCTTCTGGTTGTTAGCACCGAGAGTCCAAACCTAGCATGTGTTAGGTTGGTTTCTTATCTTGGTCGTGTAGAGTATATCATTACCTGTATCATGGGAAGGGGGCGGAGTCATAGACGAGTGAGGTCTTCTTTACGAATGGGCAACAGCCAATAAGAAGCATAATTCATGATTCGAACACAAGACGTCTCCGGATGGCTGTATTGTAACCTGATGCTGATATATGAGGATTACCTGGCTTGAGGACACTCTCATACGTACACGGGAGTCATTCACTAGTGAGAGTTTACTTAGTCAGCATCGGAGACGATGGCATCATCCAAGAGAAAAGACAGAGGTCAAAGGGGGGGGGGGGGGGGGGGGGGGGGGGGGGGGGGGGTAGGAGGGGAAAAAGAACGAACCTAGAAAGGTATGGCTTGTTTGTAGTGCCCTCGTGACCACGGTCAGATAACACATCTGGGCGGATAAGGGGGGGGGGGGGGGCGAACATGTGAGGAGAAGGAGAGAGGCACAGCCCACTGTGCTGTTCAGGAAAGAAAACCCGCTAAACGAGAAAGGCTTTACGGAGTGCCCTTGACGAGTTGCTACTGTAGTATCGAATACGACTGCAGATTGCTACTGCTACTGTTACTCCGAGTCGAATGCATGTAGGAGTAGACTGCACTCCGTATGTATATGTAGTAATAACGCTCGTAAAATACTCGTAGGATCAATAGAGTCCCGCACTTAGACTAGCCACGTTGACTCGAGGTGGTGCAGTCTATTGGATATCATGTACGAGTGGAGGGCAGCCCCTCCATGTGCGCCGCATGGCTACTTTTACTTCTCCCAGTGAGTGTCACTTCACCATCACTACCAGACCAGCAGCGCCTCTGCTAAAAGAGGTAGAGAGGGCGAATACATTGTCGTGTTGGCAACCTTTTTTTCTTCTCCCCTGACATCTTCTTTCCCCTCAATTCTCCCTCAGATAGAAAATTGGCCTGTTCAAGTGTGAGCGACGGGAAGAAAGGGAGATCGTGACCTCTTTCTATGTCTTGATGCCGTAATCGAGCGGGTCATAACGTGACGACGGGCTGGCTTCCCTATGCAGCTGCCAACTTGCTTGGGCACAATAAGTCATTCAACCACTGCCCATCGAACCTCTCACTCACTCATTCTTTTTTTTTCTTTCCCCGTTTGCCATCCTTCATTTATTCTTATCTTCTCTCTCTCTCTCTTCACTGCTCTCGGTTCCCCTCGCCCCCGCCGCGTTTCCCCAGATACGACAAGGGCGGACAGATCAAGCAAATTCACACCTTGACGACCTGGAGTGAGTCCCCCGGGGGAAGAAGGTTCCCACTTCTCCACAGAGACACAAGACAGCAGCAGCAAGAACCCCCGTTCTATGCTTGTCTAGACCGTCCTCCCAGAGACTGTCGCCGCTCCAACCCCAGGAAGAGAAATACGCCTCTGCTACGAGAGACACATCCGCAGCCACTGGCGATTGAAAGAGCGAGCCTTGGCAACCTGAGAGAGATTGAGAGCTTCTTCTCCCAAGACAGAAGCTTCCCTCGTCAGCAACCGTCCGCGTCCGTCCCTCTCTCTCTCTCTCTTTTCCACCCCTCTCTCTGCCCTCGAAAGCAGGTAAATCATTTCCCCTTTCCTCTACCCCACTCAGTTCCTTGTCTACTCTCTTCCCTTCTTCTTCTTCTTCTTCTTCTTCTTCCTCTCTGTGTCTCTCTGAAGTCGAAGGAAAAGACATGTCCTCGTCGCCAGGCTCACCTCCGGATTATACAGGCACCACTGCGACGACATCTTGGCCGCTCGGCCCACCCGTCCTGCCCCAGTTCGCCCTCCACCGACCCAACCTCGACACAACCACTTCACCAATCGCAACCGCACCCGGAAGCACCGGTGCTGTACGGCCCGTCCCCGTATTCTCACGACCGCTCCCGGCACGCGCAGTGTCGGACGAACACGGGGCCCCCGATTCCTCCTTCACGACGACGACGACGACGTCATATCACCACCATCCCCACGACGTGTTCACAATGACCACACCCAGCAGACTCTCGTCCTTCGAGACGCTCGTTCCGGGGAGGGCACGTGCCCGGCGCTCGCGGATCCTACCCTCGTCGGCCAACCTCGAGACGGTGCTCTTCCCTGAAGACGCAGATGCCGACCCGGAAGATCGCTTCTTCGTCCCCACATACCTCAGCAACTCGGTCTACATGCAGCAGCTCCACCAGGAACACCTCGACAAGCTGCGCGCCAGGCAGACCAAGAAGCCAACGACGACCAACGGCCACGGTGCCGGCGTACCCACCGACAACGACGACGACGGCACTCTACCACTCGGCTCTCACCGGGGCCTGTCACACACCATCGTCGAGAGGGGTTCTGCCGCCGGCCACGATGGCCAGGAGCCCCTGACGCCGCTGCCGTCGAGGTGGAACAGGGACGACATGTGGGGTGGTCTCGAGATCGACAACAACAATGTGTGCCGGTACACCGGGCCGAAATCGTACCACAGCCGCGACCACGAGGCCTCGGCTGTCCGGGCAAACTACCCCATGCCGCCGCAGTGCGGCATCTACTACTACGAAGTCATGATCCTCGATGGAGACAAGGACGAGTGCGTACTTCCCCCTCATATGATGGAAGCTGTGGGGAGCAGTACTGACAGGTCGATAGCACGACGATTGCCATCGGCTTCGCTACCAAGTCGGCGAGTCTATCACGCCCGGTAGGATGGGAGCCGGAATCATGGGCATATCACGGTGACGACGGCAGGTGCTTCACCGCACAAAATGTGGGTAAGAGTTACGGCCCGGCATTCAGCAAGAGTGACGTGATTGGGTGCGGCGTCAATTTCAAGGATAATACCGCCTTCTTCACCAGGAATGGTCGTATGATGGGTAAGTCCTGCTTTGCCCCAGCTCGCTGACGAGGAAAGAAGGAGTTTGAGAAGGAATCGACTGATTGGCTGACGGTCTGACTGATGAAAAAAAAAATATGCAGGTACTGCCTTCCACGACGTTGCCACTACCGTCAAAGGAAAACTGTACCCGGCCATCAGCCTAAAGAAACCCAGGGAGATGATCAAGGCCAACTTTGGTGAGGAACCATTTGTATTTCGGATAGACGAGATGGCACAGGTGAGCTTCGGACCCGCGCACACGCGCAAACATACAGACCGTCCAAGCACAGACAGCGATGACTTACAGACGTGGACACCGAAAACAGACATATCGCGACGCCATTCTCGAGGACGTCTCCAGGACGAGTACGTCACAGCTGGAGCCCGGCTTGTCGGAGACGGATCTGGTCCAGGCACTGGTGTTGCAGTTTCTCCAGCATGATGGATACGTTGATACGGCGAGGGCGTTTGCCGAGGAGATGAGGACGCAGAAGGCATCGCTCAACATGGACCCGGACGTCAAGGTTGGCGGCGTGAGCATCAAGGATGATGAGGATGCCAACAACCGCCAACGTATGCTTTCCTTACCTCCTGCTCGGTCGCTCGGGCTCATTGAAAGCTGACACGAATGCCTCGAACTAGGAATCCGGAGTGCCGTGTTGGATGGAGACATAGACAAGGCGCTCAAGTACACGCAGGCCTACTATCCGAGGGTACTGTCGAACAACGAGGAGGTATACTTCAAACTCCGATGTCGCAAATTCATCGAGATGGTCCGGCGCGCAGCCGAGATGAACATGACAGCCGAGGAGGAATCCGCTGCCACCAAGCGAAACAGCAACGACGGCGACAAAAACAGCAACAGCGGCCTGCCGTCCTTGTCAAATCCCATCCCCTCGCATAAGATGGACATGGACCTCGACCAAGGTGTTCGGTTGACCGAGGATGAGGACGACGATGACGACGATGACGACGACGACGACGACGACGACGAAGATGAGGGCGAGGGCGAGTTCGAAGATGCAGACGGAAGCGACAAGCTCAACCAGGCTCCTCTCTCGGAGCTGGAGAAGGACATCCTGCTGTACGGGAGGACCCTGCAGGCAGACTTTGTACCCGACGCGCCAAATGCCTACTCGGCTCAGCTCCAGCAGATCTGGGCCCTGATAGCCTACAAGAACCCTCTGCGAGAGCCGAGCGTCAAACATCTTCTCGACCAGCAGGGAAGAGTCCAAGTAGCGGAAGAGCTGAATTCGGCTATTCTATGTGAGTCATACACACACACACACACACACCTCACCAGTCTGCATGATTTGAGCTACGGGAGTAATGTCAGTGTTGAAGTGACAAAGAGAGGAAGAAGAAAACTGACCGAGAGATACACACGAAAACAGCCTCTCTGGGCAAATCGTCACGCGCTGCCATAGAGAAAGTATACGCCCAGACGTCTGTTCTCCTTGATGAGCTGAGAGACGACGGAGGCATCGGAGCCTTCATCTCGATAGACGACGCTTTGGATCAGAGGGCCGTATAGCCGCAAAGAGGAGTCTGTGAACAAGTTTGGCCGTCTCTTTGGCCTTTTATGTTATATCTCTCCCTCTCTCTCCAATCTCTATGCTTTCCTTTCCTCCATTCTGATTTTGGCATTGCTTGGTGTGACCTTTTCTTCTTTTTCTTTGATTCACTCTTCTCCCTTCTAGACGCCCCTCACCTCTTTCACGATTTGTATTCCCCCCCCCCCCCCCCCCCCCCTTTTTTTTTTTTCCCTCCCTCCTTTATCAAATTGTTCCGGGGGGTTTGAAAGGCGCTATATTAGTCCTTTGGGTGATTGATGTATGTAATTTGGAATCGAGACCCTTTTTATATATTTGCAACTTATTTGCAAATGTCTAAACGTTACCCTGCTCTAATAGCAACATCTCTTGACGTTGCCGGATAGATCAACACTCGGATGTTGACGGGAACGTCTACAGATTTGATGCGAATGATGCTCAGATGTGCTTGTAGTGGAGGTACCGGCGTGAAATTAAGAGAGAATTCGGCTATTAACGCATTCGTTTTTTCCTATACTGTTTCTCTTCTATTTATTTGAGCACAGCCGGCCACGGATCTGGCCGGGGGGGCATACAAGTAGTCGTACAATTGTGCATCAAGATTAATGCACGGTTCCCACCCTTCCCCTCACATATATATATATATATATATATATATAATGTATGAAAGAAAAAATTTCATCTCAATCCCTTCCCTTTTATCTGCTTTCGATAACATGTCAAGGTGTGTCAGCCCAGCAGTAGCGATACATTCTCTCCCTGTGGGCGACCAGATTGTCGTATTTCGTCAGAATAGTAGCGAGGCTCTTGTCCTGCCAGACTAGGTCTGCTGCTGGTATACTTGACGACGACGATGGTTTCTCGTTGTTGTTGCTGCTGCTGCTGCTGCTGTTGTTATTGTCATCGTCGCGGCCTAGCACTAGCCAAGTGTAGGAGAAGACGTCGGCGTCAAAGACACCGGGCGAGTCTGGGGTCTGCTGGGCGGAGGCGGCGGCGACGGGGGCGGAAGCGGAGAACCACCGGGCGTCGCCTAGCAGGGCGGACAGGGCCTCTAGGGCGGAGTCGGCGTCGTCGAGGAGCTGCTGTGGGGATATGGAGGGGCGGCGGGTGGTGGAGAGGATCTCGGCCGTGGCGGCGGTGCGGAGCTGCTGCGACAGAGGGTAGGAGAGGAGAGGCGAGGAGGATAGGTATAGTTTGTAGAGGAGCGGTTGGTTAGCTGGGTTTAGGTAGAGGGCGTAAAGCTTGGGATTACAATGTCAGCCGTCTTTTCTTTCACATCCCTTCCCGCTTCTCTTCTCCTCTTCTCCTCTAACTTGGGTAGAGCTGGACATGTGCAGCTGCGGCGATGAAAGGATAACTCACCCAGGCTGGGCGGATAGATTGAGCCATGAGGGATCGGTAGGCGTCGAGGCGCAACGACGCCGACGAGAACGGCTCGTCTACCTGGAGGGTGCGCGATGCGTTACTCTGGGCATACTGGAGGATGGCGTCACCAGTGAGAGGTTTTGATGTGGTGGTGGTGGTGGTGGTGGTGGTGGTGGTGGTGGTGGGTGCCAGGAGGAAAGGGAGTGCGCCCGAGGGAGAGGCGTGGTTGTTGGACGGCACCACGTCGACCTGGACACCGGCTATGCGCAGGACGGCCTGCCACTTGAGGCAGGAAGGGTTGAAGCTGGGCGCGTCGGTCGAGGGGCTGGTCACGTCGGCGAAGACGTGGAGGACCGGCCGTGGCCGCACGCGGTCCGGCGCTCCGCAAGGGAGAGCTTCCGCCTGGTACACAGCTAGGGGGAACAGGTTGAACAGCCTGCGGACGGGGGCTGGGATGGCAAGCCAGTTGCGTTGGGGGGCACCTGAGGCCGCTGCCGGTGCGGTTGCTGCCGCGGTCATGTTTTTCTTTAATCTTACTTTTCTTCCTTCCTCTTTTTGTCTCCTCTCCCTCCTTGTGGGTGGTAGGAATGTGCCTGCGACGGTGAAGTGATATCGGTGTTGGGCTGTAGTACTACCATTTAGTAAGGGCCAGAAAAAAAAGGCCAACGTTCTTGTCGGCGCGCCGCTCGTAACCGCAAGGAAGGCTGTGCTTGAGCTTCAGCCACTCATTGGCTTGGTGGGGCGGGTGTGGCTTGTGGATATTGTGGCTCAACGCGGTTGGTCGGCAGAATACCTAGTATACTGCAGCCTTGGCAGGTAATAAGCCGTTGGGGTAGGCGGTGGGGGAAATGTCAGTTTGTGGGGATACACCACGGAGGATATATGACGGAGAATATTATGACTACCTCTCTCTGTATTCTTATCGAAGGTGAGTATCAACAGATCTTTTTTTTTTTTTTTGCTATAGCTCTTTTCTTTCTCTTATCAGAAAGGGAATTGAAAAAAAAAAATGAAAACGGTTGAAAAATGAGAATTCCTTCTAAATGTAGGTATTCTTGCTCGTGGTTGCCTTATCACCCACGACCATTCGCATCGTTCCTTCCCTGAATGTTCCCTCCCTCAACGATGTCGCGATGCATGCGCAGTGGAAGAAATCGATGGACACGAAAGGAAACTCTGAGAGTCCGAGGTCGCCCTGGATATTCCCCGCTCATTTCCCTCTCTTTTGATTTCTCGGCAGCCCATATACAACTGGCGACAGCCGCATAGCAGTACATCACTCGTCGTTTGACCTTGACGGCAGACCGGCTTACCGACAACATCCGTGTTTTCTTCTTGCTCTATTTGCCCATGCTCTCTCGGTTCGCCAAACGGGCTGCCTTGCATGCCGCAAATAGCCTGCCGCCGGGCTGACAGGATGGCCTTCTACCCCTCATCCAGCATCTAGGAGCTCGTCTACTACTAAAGCCCTTCCTCTCTCACTTCTTCGGTTCCTGTAGAGGTGCGCGCAGCCACAGCATCGAACGGGTGCCCGGCGTAACCAGCAGATGTGGCCTTTGTGCTCAACTTTCAACGGCTACGATGTCATCAAAATACTTGGGTCGCGATGCCTTCACCGTGCTGTGGTTGTGCGGGCTGAACGTGGAACTGAACGCCGCAGTCACAATGTTGGATCTGGAGCGCGAGCTTGAGCCATCCGATTGGCCGCCGGATGGTGACAACGTCTACAGATTCGGTCGAATCGGTCGTCACAACGTCGTCATTGCAAGCTCCCCTCAGCCGGACCCGATGCCTACAACGAAACCCATCATTTTCCAGGCCGTCATTTCCTTTCCTAATCTTCGATTCGCTCTCCTGGTTGGCATTGGGGATGGTATGAGAAAGAAGACTAGCAGCGGTTCAGTAGAGCTGGGCCATGTTGTTCTCAGCGAATCCAGCATCACCTATCCTAGAGTTCCATATGGATCGCCGTATCGACAGCACCAGGACCAGGCGGAAAGCGCCCACTCGCCATCGCCGAGAGTGCTCTTCAAGGGCACACGAGCTCTTGAGGCTCATCGGAAGACGTGGTATCACGAACCTGTTCGAAGAGATGCCCAGAGGTCCCAACCCCATGAAGAGTCCATCCGGCTTCCTACCATCGAAAGACCGGTTGGGAAAGAAAGCTCATCATCAGTGACTGTGCATCGAGGGCCGATATCGTATGGGGACTTTGCGATGATGAGTCCTTCGCCGAGTACCAACTTGGCAGAAAAGCATGGGAACCTATGCTTTCCCGTCAATACAATGGGCCTTCCTATCACTTTCCCGTGCATGGCCATCTGTGGGATCGCCGAGAATTACTGTCACGTTCGCCACAGTGCGTGGAATGGCCATGGGGCAGCTGTGGCGGCCGCCTATGCGCGGCAGCTTGTGCTTCGCCTGCCCGAGGACATCGTTCAAGAGTACGTCCGACTCAAGTTGGCGAGCGAGTACATGTACTTACAACCTTGCCCGGTGAAAGAACTCCGAACGCTAACTTGATTCCAAGAACAAAGTGTGAGTTGATTGCTACCTAGATCTTGTGCCATATATAACAGCCGGGGGGGTCGTGAAATCGTGATTGCTCTCATTCCAGAGGCTGGAGACGCAAGATCAGTTTGCCAAAAACCTACTCTGCTTCGTGAGCATAGTCTACCGCCGGATGATCCCAGTGCAGCTTTTATTACATTATGGAACGCAACGGATTGGAGGGCCCCCGGCGAATGAAGCCAAAGTGTTGAGGGCTCTGAAAGCCCTGAAAGGGCTCTGGTTGGTAAACGATGACCAGTTCTAATGTTACGAAATAGACCCCCTTGTACAGCTGGGGACCCGCAAGTGGCTCATCGTCAACGGGTTGATGGGCTGGTTTTGGAAGGAAGCATCGAAGGCCTCGTCGTATTTTCTCATCCGTGACGGTCCCCACGTCGGAGACAATTATTTTTTTTTACACGCAGACTACCTGCTTGAATATCCAGCGTTTTCGTCAACAGAGAAGGCGGAGATTCTATCGCTGCTGTACGCCATGGTCATCTTCTTCATTGTGTGAACATGGATGGGACGATGCACACGACGTCAGGCGCAGAGCGAAGGATTTCAGCAGAGAGATATGGGGAGCCTCTCACCCCCTCACACTGTCGATTATAGCCAGTCTTGCTACCGCACGTGAGAAGCATACACGCAGGGTCAATAGATGGGCCAGACCAGTTTTGACATGGGGCTTTGCCACTTCTGCGCCGTTTACGGACACTCCATCAGCTCGCTGGAAGACAGGCTGATACCCCAATCCTCCTCGGATATAGATTCCAAAGCAGGCACGCAACCGCCACTCACGCATGGCTTCCTGCTCGGCATCCTCAGCGAAGATTGGCCGTCGGTGCCCTTGAACGGTGTCGGCATCGGTTCGACAGATGGCGACACGGGTTTCAGCACATTTCTCGCCCAGGAGCCCCAATTAGAGGGCTTCAGGAGGCTTCGACAGGACGTCTGGCTCATATCACTTCCCCGGGACGTTCGTCATGTGCTCGTATCCATACACGAGGATAGCATATGGGTGTCACGGGAGCAGGACGTGTCGGTAACCAACGGGATGAAGGCGTGGGTGGAGGATAGCACGGGAATCAAGTGGAACCGGTGGCCCCTGAAGAGACGGAAACGAATGTTGCAGGATGGGGAGACACGGGTGCTGTGGAAGTGCGTGGGTATATCCTCTCCCGCAAGGGCGACAAGACATGCGTAGAGAGAATGGTCCGGAGGGGGGGGGGGACATGGAGAGATAGAGAGAGAGCTAACATCGGTATAGACGTGCGACTCAGAGCAGTGGGAGGAGGTGGCGCTGGAACAAGGCGAAATCGTGGAGAAGATGATGTCTGTCGATCATGAATTTGGAAGTCAGGGAGACGCACCTATGTTGAAGAAGCAGAAAGGGGGGGGAGTGCTCTCGAAGATACGGCTGCTTGCACGAGGACGGGCAGGACAAGGGCAGCCGACGTCATCGGCGGCGAGAAAATACACGCCGCGGGAGAGCTCATCAAGTTTGGGGCAGCAAGAGCAGCGGCAACAGCAAGGAGCCCCCCCCTCCCCCCCCTCCCGCCGGTGGGGCTGGGGCTTCTTCTGGTCCTTCCGGTCCCGATGATGGCGGCGCTGCCGGTGCCGCCACGGGAGAGCAAAACCAGGCGAAAGTGCAAGGGGAAGCTACGCAATCCGATAGCTAGATATCTTTCTGGCGTGCGGGGAGCGTCGCGGGACCTCGACACCGACGCAGGTGGCGGTCAGGCGGCACGCGACCGACTCCGAGGTGTCTGAGGAGCTCCGCAAGTGGTACAGGCTACGGCGGGGTTGGGTGAGGCTGTGGTTCTCCATCTGGCGACTGGAGTACTGCGACGCTGTCAAGGTATGATGGACTGTCGGAGGTCGATTCCATGCTCTGCGTGTACATGTAATATTATGTACACGCGGCTGGGCAGCATCACCAGCAGTACCGGTACGCATCGCTGGCTGCTTTCGGTGTTAGTCCGAGCGGCTGTCGCTGGACCGCATGGTGCGCGACCTCCGAGACCACCCGAGGCACCGGGGCTGCAAGTACAGACCGCGACCGCCGTCGAAAAAGGCGCGGAACCCTCCGATGCGGCCACACCTATTCCACTTCCTGTTCTACACGTGCGCGGAGGCGTGGCCGTGGTCCCTGGTGCGACAGCTGGGCGCGGGGTCGCCGGGTATGGGCAGGGGACGGAGCGGTCAAGCGGATCCCCAAGCGGCAGGCCAGGTTCGGCAGGGACATGACGTGGGCCGATATGGGGAATCGAGACGGTGTGTTCGGTCTCGCCGAGCTACGTGGCGGCATACCACCTGGCGATGCTGGCGGTGCCGTCCGGCACCTGGGGATGGTGGCTGACGGTGCATCCGGGGGACCTGCAGAGTGCGTCGGTGCCGTTGACGGCAGTCCTCGGATCGCCCTCTCTGTTCTGGAGCGGCGCCGGGCATGTTGGCGAGTCAGAATCAGTCGTGGGTACGTGGATCGTGTGTGTATTGACGGGTGTATCGTGGTCGTATCCGGTTTGGGGTGATGATGTCATTATGGGTGAGGAGCTCCGCTCACGACTCTTTTGAATCTGTCCGTCTCAACTTTCTGCTTCTAATTGATCCTATCCTATTTCATCTCATCTCATCTTCATCTATGTATTTGAGTTGATTCATCGTCTCTGAGTCTGGAGTTTACGGGTATACGGGTATGGAGTGTAGCAGCAGTAACAGTAGTAGATTATGTGCATTGACGGGGAGGAGGGAGACGTGGGAAAAGCACGACGAGCGCATGAATCGAATACGTCTGGACAGTACCGGGTACATGTGCGAGCAGACTACGGGTACAACAGGTAGAGAGGAGTGTGGAGTGTGTAGGGGAGATGGGAGGTGATGTTCTCATCCGGTTGCTAGGGTCCAGATGTACTCGTACCGTCCTCGCGGGAAAAACCGGGCAGGGCGATTTACTCGGTACTACTCATCTTGATTCTCTGGCGGACCGTGGGGACCGTGGGGACCGTGGGGACCGTGGGACAGTTGGATGGACCCGTGGTACTCGTGGACTGTCCATGCCAAGAGCCTTTCGTCCGTCCGACCGACTTGTGGTCGGACCGGGGTTCTGCGGCGGATGCCTCGCGGCGGATGAAGGACGGCTAAGACGGGTGGGTCGGATGTGAATCGGGTAGGAGAATCTCTCGCCTGTACATGCGGTACAAGGCAGTACAAGGCCACTGACTAACTACCAGCCATCACCTATCACGCACGTAACCGGCGAAGCAGAGCAGATTCGAGGCGGGGGAGATTTCGTTCGTCATCTGGCGCTTATCCATGCCTAGTATGGATATGGTATATGGTATTGGGAGGGACGTTGTAGAAAGAGTTATACAAGTAGTTTTTTTTTTTTTTTTTTTTTTTGGGGGGGGGGGGGGGGGGGGGGGGGGATTCATATATATATATATATATAATGACTTGATAGGGAGGGAAAACAGAAAAGAAAAAGACCTCAGTCATCGACAATTGACGGGCCCTTTTTTTTTTAAAAAAAAAAAAAAAAAGTTTTATGCGCGCAAAACATATATAGTGGACAGATTGAGAGAAGGGGTGGGGAGGGGACCCGGAATGCCGAGGACCCTTTCAGGAAAAGAAAAAAGAGGGAAAAAAAGAGAGTCTCCATCCGTTAGGCCCTAGAGCAGTCCTTACTCCGTACTCCCGTAGCAGTGTCGCTATCTGTACGAGTATTATCTGGTGGTGTCTTGTCATGTCTTGGCCCTCCCCCCACCATTACATCTGATTACGTAGTTTTGGGGAAATGACTTGAGAATGGAGAGAGAGAGAGAACGACAGCATTGCGGGTAGAAGGGGAGGAGGGAGGGGAGGACAAGGCCAAGAAAAAAAAGAAGAAGAAACCAAAAAGAGGTTACGATTGAATACATCCTGTACAGTTGAGCCCAGTTCCAGCTGATTTTTTCGCGATTGACTGACCTCATCATCATGGGTAACTACGCAGTATCAGTATCAGGGTAGTATACCGTTGTGGTATTAGTATGCACGACGTATGTCCCTCTGAGCGATGAGCCTTCTCCGTCTTTTTTTATTTTTTATTTTTTACTTTTCATTTTATCTCAAATCCCATAGTGGGCAGTAGTATGCTTAGTGCGCCTTGTATTGACACGTCTCGTACGAGTACGGGTATACAAAGTATATATATATATATATAATATTATATTATATACGCTTGACTCGACAACCACCCCACCATCATCACCGACCAAAACACACACACACACACACACCTTGCGTCATTGTGCTTCCCTCCCTCCCCACGCTTCAAACCGCCCTCGACACCAATCAGACGGGGGAAAAAAGGGAGGAAAGAAGAAGAAGAAAGAAAAACCGACATACGCAAGATCAGCTCGATCCCGCAACCTTCCCTTCTCTTTCCCCCCTCTCTTCTTCTTCTCGTCTTCCTTCTCCTGGGGAGGCGACGGGATAGAAAAAAAAAAAGAAAAGACAGACAGACAACTACCTCTGCCTCTCCCACTCTTGTTTGTGGGAAGAGTTGTCGGCTCATCTTTTTTTTTCTTCTTTTCCGAAAGAAGGGAAAGAAAAGGAAGACATTCGACTGCGACAAAAAAAAGAAAAAACCCCATTTCAACTGCGAAGAAGATAGAGAATACCCCCGCTCCGAAAATGAACGCTTCCTCGTCGAACCAGACCAACGGTCTATCCGGACTGTCCACCACATCGGCCTCCTCCTCGTCCCTCGCCTCTCAGAATCAGCAGCACTTCTACCACGCTACTGCTCCTGCTCGGACGACGGCAGCCCAGTCTTCGTCTCTAGACAGTCATCTCAAGGACTTTACTCTTGTCGCCGAGGCTGCCAAGCGCGCTCAGATGGCTGTCATGATTCGTGACTTTGAGGACTGTGGTCTCTGAGCCTTGTCTCTCTCTCTCTCCTCACTTTTCTGCATCTCTGGACTCCTCGACCTCTCGACTCCCCAACATCTTGGTTTTTCGACTTCCCCAACCTTCCGACCTCTCGATTCTTCCTCGTCACTGATTCTTTTTTTTTTCTTCGGCTACGACGGCGCAAATACGGCTCGGCTCGTTTCTTCGAAATTGCTCTCTCGGGTACCAGCGATCTGTCTACGAGTACAGCAACAACAACAACAACAACAACAACAACAACCACCCCTGCATGACTGATTTAGCATCTTCTCTATTCCCTCCTCTTCTTTACTCTCGCACCTCTCACTCAGCCACATGTCTAGTTTTCTCTTCTTCTTTCCTTCCCGAGCTGCTCGATTTTATTCTTTTATGATATTTACCTGGAATACATGAATAGATGAGGAGGATGCTTCCCATACTCATAATCACGCAAAAGCGACCGGATTATAAAGATATGATACGCCATAATAATAACAAATGACCCCTTTTCTTCTCCTTCTCTTTCAGATATTGATGATATACATTCGACTCCTCACAGCTTGGAGACGAGCGATATGCCACCGTCGAGGTTAATCACGGCGCCATTGACGAATGCACTACCGAGGTCAGTCGACGCACCGCAATCATAAGCCTATCGAGGGAGAAACAGGACAGATGGGAAGCAAGGGAGAGGGAGAGAGAGAGAGAGAGAACAGCGAGGGGAAGAGAGGAAGCAGCTCACCCAGCCTTGCTTGCGAGGAACAGAGCCGTGCCGGCAACATCCGACGGCTCACCGATCCTGCCGACCGGCGACTCGGAACGGATGACGTGCCCCATAGCCTCGAGCGTAGCCCTCATCATCTTGGACTCAAAGGGCCCGCAGGCGATGACGTTGCTGGTGACGTGCCGCCGCCCCAGGTCCCTGGCCAGGTGGGCCGACAGGTGGTGCAGGCCGGCCTTGGAGGCCGAGTAGGCGTAGTTGGCCACGGCGGGGACGCGCAGGCCGTCGATGCTGCCGATGTGCACCACGCGCGACGGGTCCGACGCCGTGGCCGCCCTCTCCAGCAGCGGCAGGCACATCTGCGTCAGGGTGAAGGCCCTCTGCAGGTTGAGCGTGAGCACCTTGGCCCAGGCGCTGTCCGGGTACGTGTCCACGTCCGCGCCCCACGTCGCGCCCGCGTTGTTGACCAGGACGTGCAGCCCGCGCGACGGCTCGGCCTCGGCCACCAGCCTCACCAGCCTCTCGCAGTCCTGTATGTGCTGGAGGTCGGCCGGGATGGGGACCACCGTGTTGGGGACCACGGCGCTCGGTCCCGAGGAGGGAGAGGCCGGCCGTGGGAGGAGTCGGTTGAGCTCCGAGGCCGCCTCGTCCAGAGCCTTGGCGTCACGCCCGGCCAGGTAGACCTTTGCCCCGTTGACCACGAAGCCCTCGGCTATCATGCGGCCTATGCCCTTTGCCCCTCCGGTGATGAGGACGACTTTGTCCTGTGTTTGTTGTGCGTTGGTTTCTTTTTCCCCCCTCTTGCGTTACGGGGTTGGGAGAGAAAGAAGGGATTGGATATCGGGAAGGGGGTGGGGATGAGACGGCTTACCTTGACATTGAAGAGTGTTTGAGAGTCCATCATGTATTGAATTTTGTTTTGTTCTGTTTCTTGGTATGACGATGATGATGATGATGATGTCGATGAGAGGGGGGATGAGAGAAGAACGATCCAGAAACAAAGGGTTCAATGGCTTCGCGTACCGAGGTCCTTCCGTTTTGGGACAATACACCGTACAAATCCGTAGGACATCTACAGATTACAGATTACACATCATATTACTACTACATTATCCTCCGTACATATATCGATTATCATACTCACCACCATACCTCTTCTATCTACACTTTACGAGACCTTTTTTCATCTATTTAGAAGAGAACGTCTGTTTTACGTCTCGGAATGTTTCAAGTCCAAAGGAAAACAGCTGAGATGATACATGTATAGATATATAAGCGTATAGAAAAAAAGAAGAAGCCCCCTCCCCCAATAAATCGACTACTCTGATGTCGACATCTCAATCCAACCAGCCGATGACGCCGTTAGACCGGCCAAATCCATCTTTCAAGTTCCCTTTCCCCGCCCCCCCGCCTCCCTGCGCCACACGTGACAATTACAACATATCCCATCTAATCTCTACACCAAAGAACTGAAAGATCGATCCTCGTTCTTCTGTCTCGGTCTGCGTCTCTCTCCGTCCCCCCCCCCCCCCCCCAGATTTAGCAATGTCAGACTCGACCCTCGTACAAGAGGTCTTTGCCGCGCCGGGCCCCACTCCCCCAGGAGACCGGTGGGACGGCCTCTACCGCTCCGGCCACTACAGTTGGGACCGTGACGGGCCCTCCCTCGCCCTGGCGGACCTCCTCGTCCAGAGGAGGGATCTGATCCCCCACCGGACTATCGAGGCCCAGAACCACGGCGCCGCAGACGACGGGTCGTCGCCTCCCACCAGGCCCACGGCCCTGGTCCCCGGGTGCGGGAGGGGTCACGACGTCCTCCTGCTGGCCGAGTTCGGCTACGACGTCTGGGGTCTCGACCTGTCGCCTACCGCCATCGAGCTGGCCAGGGGGGTCGAGAAGGAGAAGGAGAAGGAGAGGGAGGGTGGAGGGAGGGGAAAGCCGTACGGAACTGTCCATTGGCTTGTGGCCGACTTCTTCGACGACGAGTGGTCTGGCGGAAGGACGTTTGATCTCATCTTTGATTATACTGTATGTCCGAACCCCGACCCCCAACCCCCAACCCCCAACCCCCAAACCCCCCCCC